AACGTATTTAAAAGTAATTTTATGTAAATGCCAATTAACTTAGCTGCTGAAAATAAACTTTAAAGGAAAAGTTATATACTTAAAATGTGATTTTCATGCGCAGCTCAAATCAATTTCAACTGTCTTAAGTCTTCGCTTTGTCATTTTAAAATCTATGCATTTCAATTGTTAAAGTTGCCGCCTGTTTTCCGTTTTCCAGACGCAACTGTCACTTATGCAAATGAGCAGCAGGCCTTAGGAAGTTGTTTCCCATTTGGCCCACTTGACTTTTCAGCTCTTTGTGTGCAAACTCATTTGTTGGCTGCCGAAATTGCATATGGGGTCTCGACCTGGGGCTCAGGCTCGGCTCGTTAATTCTCTGGGGCTGGCAAATAATCGTAATTCAGCGCTAAATTTGTTACACACGGAATTTGCTCGTGCTCGTGTTTATCTGATCTATTTTTCTGGTGGCGGGGAGGAGGGGATTTTCTCTGCCTGCCAGCCAAGCGTTCGTCATGAAAATTGGGTTAACACATTAAGTCGGGATATGTGCAGCAATGTCCTCGTTCTCGTGTCCACATACATGTCCTTGTCAGAGTTTGGCAATCGAATGAATGGCGACAAAGGCGGAAATAAAATTGCTAAACGAAAAAACCATTTCAACGACTGCCTAACGTGCCTTGATTCTCTGCTTCGCTTCACCTCTCCTCTCTCACAGTCTCTCTCTCTCTCTCTCGCGCTGTCTCTCACTCTATTTCTCATGGCATATGTCGGCCTATGTGTTTGTCTTTTAACATCTTCCCCACCATGCAAGCATGACAAAAGCAGGCACAGTGGTAACAGATTTCAAAATGAAAATAATATTAAATATAAAATTGTTTAGAGATATATTTTATTATTTATATTAATATTATCATTCTATACTAATTATGATATTCTGTTATCTTCATGCAAATGAATAATATTTAAATTAGAATTAAAATGTTTGAAGTTATCGCTGTAAAATGCTGGGACTGATGGGAATATTAGTCTAATTATGATTACAATATCATTAAATATATTGATTTTAATTAATTTTGCATGTATTTTCAAGGGCTTTCATATATTTAACTTTTCCTGGGAAAAAAAACTTGTGAGAATTTCTAATTGACCGCTTTCTAAATACATTTTTGCTCACTGTGCAATATTTTGGCAATTCAATTTTTGTATGCAATTTTCCTTTGGCGCTTTGCAGGCGCAGCGCAAATTCGTTTACACGCACACACACACACACACATTTATGCACACTCAGTTGCATGGGAGTGTTGCGCTGCGTCCATCTTTTATTTCATTTCGTGCTTTGCCTTTGTGCAACTGTGCAACAATCATTTTTGCACCGCAAATTCATTTCCGTTTGCACTCGTTTCGCGTGTGACTGTGTGTGTGTGTGCGTGTTGTTTATGTGTGTGTGCACAACAATCGCCAGCTAATTTCGTGCGATTTATACGCATACGCGCGGTGCAACAGCCTTGCATACTTTTTTGGTGCTCGCGGCTGGCCGAAATGAATTTTCATGGCAATTTTATCAAGGCGCCTTGGCTGCACCGCCCCGCCCCCCGCCCAACCTCTTTACCTATTCCCTGCGGCTTGCCATGTTGTGCATAGTCCCGATTTTAGTCTGCGGCAAACGGAGCGCGCCTCCAAGCCTCTGCATACCTCGTGTGGGCTAACAGCTTGATTGAAGATTGCAGATTGAATTGTGAAACAAATGTCCTTCCATACGCTCCCACTCGTACTGCTGCCTGGCAACAATGCCGTCGTGCAAGAGGCTTCCTTTGTTGCCTTCACGGCTGGGCATTGTTTAGCGCTATTCAGGCTGATACCTTGCCTGAATAGAGAGAAAAGCAGTGGGACAGAGAGAGAGAGAGAGAGAGAGAGGGGAGTGCGGCATCGTGTGTCGCAAAAAGATGACGACAAGTGATTCTTAAGCACAATAGAACAACAATGATGTCAGTGGGTAATCGGAAATGGTACCAAGTAGACGTAAGACAGGCCTGTAAATAAAACCGCCCACAAGTCTTATAAATGAATAGAAAACTGTTATATGGCATGTCTTTCTATATTATATTCGATCAGTTTCACAGTCATTTTAACGAATCTTCGTGAAATTCATTATTATATATTTTATACAAAATATTGCATAAATAATATTGCGTGCAATTTAAGTCTTATTGAAATTGTTATGCAAGCCTTAACCTAATTATATCCGACGATAAATCATTCTAGCTATGGGCCAAAGTCAAAGCATAATATCCTTTGTCGTTCTCTGCAAAGCAGATATTTTTTGGTAAGAGCAACGCCTATAAATTGCAAGCACCTTGAGGCACAAGGATAAGAGACTTGCCTTTATTGCTATAATTAATATTGCATTCATTAGGTAAATTAAATTTGCCTGGCCCATGCGCACGCCCACAGCTCAGGGGTAAAATGTCTGCTTAAAATATGCAAGCGATTCGTAGCCGAGAAATCAAACTCCAGAAATGTAGAGCCCCTTTGATGCGACTAAAAGCTCTTTTGGCAATGCGAGCAAATACTGACAAATTGGAAATGAGTGACCTGTAGGTAATATTTTATGTAGCTGATGGCTCTGGATTCGGAGCTGGGTGCGGAATGGGTAATTGGTTCCACTCGGTGGAGTGCGCTGCACTTGGACTTTAATCATGCTTATGAGTCGGTCTGGGCAGCTGAGGCTGGGGCTAGGACTGGGACTGGGGCTAGGGCTGGGGCACCAACAAAATGCAATTCGCTTTGTCATGTTGTCGGTGGTCAGCAGCAGCGTATGTAGAAGGTCCAACAGAATTGAGCCAATGGTGACATGGCCAGAGGTGAGCGCTGGCATGTTGGCAATGGCAAATGTCGAAATCTGTTTCACCTGCATCTGTTTCGGCACCCTGTATGGTTTTGTGGAGCTGACCTCCTGGTCCTCTTCTCACAGCTCAATGCCATTCACATTTTGCTTTTTGGCATTTGACAGTTTGGACATTTTCTGCTTGCTTTGAGTGCTGACGATGGAGCCGGAAGGGCAAATCAAGTGGGGTGCGGCAGAGGAGCCACAAAAGAAAAACGTCGGTCAATAACATGAAATTCGAACCGTCAATTCGATGCATGCCAAAACACAAGAACCAACCAAAGGGGCCAGCAAAGGCAGCACCAATGACTCTTGATAGGAATTCGAATGAATGCACGACTTGGACAAGTGGCAAAGCCACAAACCAAATGCCCGACTACCCAATGCCCTGCATGCGGCCTTAGAAGCTTCTCAATAATATAATTATCATGTTGGGCAACTTACGAAGTAAAAGAAGGTCTAACTTTTGAAACTTAAAAAAGAATTTTGGTTTCTTAGTATTATAATAAAGATCATAAAATGGAAAAAATATTCGAAATTATACTGTGAAAAATCAATATACAGCAATAATTTGATAAGTTAATCGATAAAATAATCAAGTTTAACATTATTATGCAGTAAACAGTCTATCGACTAACGAATTTATCGAGCGACAGCACAAGTATCGATAACATTCAAGACAAGCATGCCTCCTTGCCGCGTTATAGAACATTATAAAAAGATAGACAGCCTGAAAGCTGTGATAGAAACGGAAATGAAAGGAATTGAAGAACAGGAAAACGGGAAAACGGGCTGACAGGGCAGGAGCTGCCTGCTGCGCTTCGATAATTTTTGCATTGGCTGCAATTGCGCACACATGTAATTCAATAAAAGAAACGCACACGGGGCGGGGTAGGGTGGTACAAAGGAGTGTTGCGGGAGAGGGACAGGGGTCGGACAGGGCAGCATATGGCGAATGGCGGCGACAGCGTCAACTTTTAACTTTGTCCAGCTGCCGAGCCAGGCACACATAATAATAAGCAGCATGGCGGGGTGAACTTATGTGGCGTTGCCATATCGGGGAAATTTGCTTGATTTGCTTAGCCTTTGGCTGTACAGTGAAGCCATTTACTGTTATGTCAGAAGAATAACGCTACGACAGCGCCACGGCAGAGCTGCAGCCAGCGGCATGAATGCAACTCAAACGTGGCAGGTGGGAGATTGGCAGCAGGAATATCCTACAGCAACAAAAGCTGTCAAATGCCCGGCCAAAGTCAACTTCATTTCATGCCCCAAGTGTGCAAACGATGGATACCGAACTGGATGCATGGATGCAAAACGCACGAGCTACAGCAGCCGGAATGGAAATATGCCCTGCAGGCCTGGCATCCGACTGCTCCAACTGCTGCTGCTGCTGCTGCTCCCTGCAGCTGCTGCCAAAGTAGCGCAAAGTTTGATGACGTGTGACATTGAAAGTTAACTGGGAATGGCAGAGCAGGCAGCTAGGCAGACAGGCAGGCAGCTAGGCCGGCAGGCAGGCAGGCTGGCGACTGGGATTGGCATTGACTGCTGTGCGCAGCAATTGCCAAAGCCGAAGCAGCCCCCATTAATCGTATTTGTAAAGTGCCGCAATTTGGCTTCTCAATTGCAAGCGATTCGACTCGGAACGTGGCCCCAACCCCAAAAAAGGTGGAAAATTCATAAATCGTTGTGGGGTATGAGAACCAGACACAAATGTTAGCACAGTATAAGATGTGTTAGTGGAATTTTAAACATATCATATTGTTATCTATAACTTAATTGGGTAGACTTATATTTCAGAAACGTCTATGCTTTGAATGTGTTAACTTAATGTTTAAAAATAAAATCTTTTTTGGGGCATTTTTGCGGAAATATAAAGACACGCTAAAACAAGCATGCCAAGATATCATTTATTCATATAAGAATATGGAAATCCAACTGCATCTACATACGTTAGACTTTCGTAATAGTATTATACGATATCATATATCGTAAGGAAGTGAAACTGCAACTGTCTGTGTGTACGTTAAGCTTTCGGATACGTTTTTAAAGAGTATATCCTCAGACTTTTACCTCAAGCAATATTTATTTTAATAAACGTTACAAATACTCACGATAAAGCATATTGCTCAGATTTGATGTAAAATATTTTGCTTTTAATAAAAGCGATTTGGTTTTGACGTTTACAAAAATTCTGAATAAATTACTTGGCAAATTTTCTGTCTAAATTAGAGACATTCCATAGCTCGAACTTGGCTCCTGCTCTCAAATGTACTACACTTCGTCTTTGCTTAATGCACTGGGGCAATAAATATGTAATCAAGTAGCAGAACAAATAAATTATGATCATAATTCAAAGAGCGCTAATGATGCTTGAATTTCGCAGCAAACCGTCAACAAACAAATAATATGTCATTTTTTCTTTCGCTAAAAATATGACAATGGCAGATGAACAAATAGCACAAAATAAAAAAAAAGCAAAAATAGAAAAAGTTCATTTTGATATATATGTATTTATATATCAAAATTAATCAGATCGGATGGTTACAGAGCGAGAGAAAAAAAAACATAATTTATATTCATCGTATTTACATGCCATGTACAGCAGCAGCCGCCTTCGAGGGTAATAAATATGTGCGCCTATGTTAAATTCTGGCTGGCATTGCGTAATAAATATCACATTTTATTGGCCACACGCGGGAGTTCCCAGTCCAAACAAGCTGAGAACTTGGCATAAAGATAAGTCCGTTGGTAATGATGAGAAAATGCGTCGCTTGGCAACCAATGGATACATTTTGGGTTCGTCTGGCTGTCTATTCTCGCGTAGCCAAGGTCACGCTAGCGTGTGTGTGTGTGTGTGTGTGTGTGCGGGTGTTTTGTTATATTTTTTCATTCGATTGCCGTTCGCCTTGGGGCAACGCGTCGTATGCGCAATTTGCATGTTTCACTGAAGTCTAGACTTGCTAAGAAAAGGGAACGCAGCTTTGGCTGCTTCTGCTGCTGCTTTTGGCCATGTTTTGTCTATTTGATGCTTTTTGTGGGTCAAGCCACAAAATGGCGGCAGCAGCAGCGATGGCGACGATGATTTTATGCCCTTCTTATGCTTTGTTTCGACTCTGGAAGGTTTCTTCAATTTATTTTATGGCAGCGCCACATTCTCATTGTCATTCCTATGACGCTTCACGTTCTTGTTGTTGTTGTTGCAGTTTTAACGTCTTTGAAAGCCCGTCAACCACAAGGCCGTTATTTATGTGCATGTGGCTTTGTTTTGTTTTTGAAAATATTTGAAAAGGGTCCTCAGAGAGTTTTATTCCCCTTTTTCTTTTTTTTTTTGATAGCTCACTGATTCAAGACGCGTAAAAAATGGCATTTTCAATGAGAAAAAAAAAGGAATGTTAACGTCGACTTGTTACACATAATTCCAAAATTATGGCGAAATCATGCGAATGGGTTCGCGTCAAGGCGGCAGCTGCAGTCAGAAATGTGTTGGGCCAACATTAAAATGGATGTTAAATTTTGGATGAAAGTTATAAAATGTAAAAAATAGAATATAAAAAAGTAAAACAATTTATATCAATTTTATCAGGCTGATGACTTTTACAAATGTTGTTGAAAAGCAGGCCCAGAAATATCACAGTATACATATAAATATATATAATTTAAGTTTTCTTTCTAATTAAAATAAATTCAATAATTTGATGGTAATTCGAGTTACCACAACGCATATTCAAAACATTTTGGTATCAAATGAAAAACAAAGAAATCTTTATTTAATATGTGGATACATAATAGGGATAGAAATACGCTCAAATTAAACCGAGTATTGGGTGTCCTAATGATAACTAAGCAAATCAGGCAAATGCATTTACCAAATAATGCAGTGAGGCATTTGATGGCCGGCCATAGTTTGAAATATCTGCGGTTTGGGATGCTGTCGGGCTCAAAATGATTCGCGTTTTCGTCTCTTGTGCGGCTCGTTGCACTCATGAATAAATCGCCAAACAAATTCCAAACACAATTCAATCGACGCCACATTTAACATAGCCGCCAAATTGTGCATTTATTTAATTTTTAGTTTGTCAACATTTGCATAAAACAACGAATATGTACACACTATGAATATGCAACTATCGGACGGATTTTGCACGCCTCAAATAATAGCGGAAATTGCAATTTATTAAAATACTCAAATATTAGAAATTATCAATTTTATTGCCAAACATAAATTTTAGTCTTCACATGAGAAACGAGTTCGATTGTGGCGAGAGTACTCGATTATAAATTCCCTCTCATGTACGTGCTTACGTATAACACACACATACATATTTAAGGAAAATGGATTTTTTAATAACTTCAGGATGCACAGAAAGTATGAAATAATATAAGTGTGCCAAAAATTCAAGAGAAACGCTCAAAGAAGTCAATGACAAGAAAACCCTAACAAACATAATTTGCTAAATGCAGCAGTTCCCGATAATTAATCGATAACTGCTTTTAATGCACTTCCGGTGCCGTTATTCAAGTGCTTAGATTTTGATTGCTCAGTTAAATGTACTCGTTAGTGCTGATAATACGTTGCATTTAAGTCGCTAAGTAAAAATAAACTGAGCGTAACAGCAGCAGCAACAACAACAACAACTACAGCAATGCAGCTAAATGCGCAACAACAACAAAACATGTGCAAAGCAGTGAAAATCCTGCGTAATCGTTTCATACGCCAGCTGCACTGCTTGCAGGCAGTCCAACAACAACAGTTAGCACTAACACGCTGCCGTGTGGAAAATATTTATGAGCTTGGTTTTTACGCCAAATGCATTCTATATAATGTTCTCACTCACTCTCTCGCTTGCTGTATCTCTTGCCCTCTTCCCCTTATGTCCGCTGCTTGTGCTTTGCGCTATCGCAATTTACCTCAACGTTTTCGTAAGCGCGTAAATATCATTGGCGCTTCTGCATTTGTGTGTGTGTTAAGCAGTGCGTTAAAGTGTTTATGTGTTTGTTTACGTGCGAGCGTGCGTGTGTGTGGGCTTGTGTGTGCTCTGTCGCAGGCTAGTTATTTTTTTTGCACTTTACGCTTTTTGGCACTCAACGCAGTTGCTGTTGCTGTTGCTGTCGCTGTCGCAATCATTGCCACCTGCCGCGCTTTCACGCTTATCCTCTCTATCTCCCTCTCTGTCACTCCCAACTGCATGGCTCCTTCCACTCATATGCTAATTTCGCTCAGCACATTTTATATTTATACGCTGCTGACAACAACAGGCTACAAAACTGCAGCCAACTTAACTGCGCAAACCGCAGGGTTGCCAGCGCTCGTTCCGTTTGAAGTGTTGCCTTTTGCTGTTGTTGCTGCTGTTGTCATAATTAAAACGCGCTACATAATTGCCAAACAATGGCACTGCCGGAGTGTGTATGTAAGTGTATGTGTGTGTGAGTATGTGTGTGTGCACAGGTCTCCCCGTCTCTAGGTTGGGCGCTGCTGCAGGCCCGTTGCCTGGGCTGGGCTGATGGCAATCACGACCATTTATTCGAATGCCTAACAAAGTGGACAATGTGCACTTTTTTCCAGCCCTGTTTGCATTGGCCAGGCCATCAACCAGCACACATATACACACACACACACTCACTCGAGCGCAGCTCTTGGATGCAACAGAACGCGCAACAAAATGTTTCCACAATTCGGACGTAATTGGATAACGTTGCATGGCAGAGCGCCAGCAGAACCCTTAACATTGTTGCACAGATTGTCACATATGAGCAACTCCACGTGCATATGCCGTTAGCATGAGAGCACAAAATGTAGGTAGTAGAAAATAAAAATGGAAATATTAAGAAACGTTCAGAAAATAAACTATTTAAATGGAAAGCTAAGACTCTTTTTTAATATAGTTAACATTTAGGAAGAATTTTAATCTAAAAGTTTGATAGACTTGCGAGCGAATACTTCTTTGATAATAGTACTTATATGTATTATTTCCTATTATTCCGAAATTCTGAAAAACTAACAAAAGCACTTTGTTATTTTTCCCATTCCTAAATTTTATATTGCCGTAAAAGTAGAAGAAGTTCTAAATTAAACTGCAAACTTTATAAAAAGAATATTAAAAAAACTAAATGTAATCAAAATAAATCACATTCTTTCTATACACAAACTTTTTTCCCAGACCATGCACATTATTTTTTTACATACACATTTTTATCTATTAATATATTAATATGTTCATAGATATTAAATTCTTTAGCTATGCATAGTTATAAAAAAAAAAATTACAATGAATTTATATTGCACAATCTTTTCATAGGAAAAAATTGATTTATTTTAATGCAGCAAATATTCAGTTTAAAAACTTTAAACCGCATCATTTGGCCCCAGTGCCCTTCCCCTTCACCTTCCCCTTCCCTTTCGCAGCCCCCTCTCTGCATCGATTCTTAGAGTTACCTTGTTGCCAATTTGCCTTACCCTATGCAAAAGTTGACTACATATTTATTTTAAATTTTCCGCTCTTTTTGCTGTATTCAACCCAAAATCGCCGGAAGTTTCGATAAGGTTGCCTTTGCCCCACATTGGGGCGGGTTGGCTATGGGTGGCTGCGGTTTTCTAGGTGGTTTCCAGCGTGGCTTCGATTGCCCCATTCTCATTTTGCCTCATGACACGGCAGCCATAAAATATTCGGCCAAAGTGCACTCACACATGCATACACACGCTCGCACACACATACACACTCAGTGGCACACACATACACCCACCTATATACATTCACACGGCCGCACTCACGCAGTTGTGGTTTCAATAATCAATGAGTTGATTTTATGAAATTTCTGTTTACCTCACTTGCCTAGCCCCAACACCCCAGCTCTGCGCAATATTTTTGGTCTCAAACATGCATACACACACACACACACACATGCTCGTTAAGCTCACTTGCGTGTGTGCAAAATTTTATTAACGAGAATTTTGAAATTTTTTGCATAAATTTTCGCATTACGGAGTTTTTACAGCAGCCAAAAGCAAAGCCACGTGGCCCTGGACGAAGCGTGTTGATTGCGGCTCAAAGGTCAAATGAATTTTTATTAATATTTTAATTAATAAAATCGCCAGCTTGCTTATCCGGTCCACCGTTTCCCTTCTGTTTCGCTTTCTGCTGCTGAACATGCCAAAATTGATTTTCTGTTGACTTGCAGAATTAGTTCATATCCGATTATAATTCCTTATTTTCTCTGTTTTTTTCCAGAAATACCGTATTTAATTTAAGCATACATGATCTCGCGGAACAGCAACGTCTTGTGTGGACGTCGCCGGAGGATGATACCAAAATGTGTCTCGTTAAGGGCAAAGATGAGGTAAGTACTGTGAAACATATAATAGCTACTAGTTAATCAGTTAAGGAAAAGTTATAATTTTAACTTGGATTAGGTATTAAAATATTTGCTACAGAGGTGCACCAAATTTATTTGTAATTTTTAATAGCTTAGCCTAATTAATTTAAATTCATACTTCAAATTAAATGAATACTCCAATACACTTGCCAAGGAAGTTATGATGGATGTGTGTAGGTCCTCTATAGGGTATTTTTGAGTGCGATTCTCATGAGTTCAAATAAGCTCTTTGGGTATTCGTGCCTTGAGCTATTTTTAAATGTCGCCCTGCTATGCCATCCTCATGAATTCAAGTTAACCCTTCGGCTGTTTCTGCCTTACTCTATGTGTTATGTGTCGCCTTACTATGCGATTCTCATGAATTTAAGTTGTTATAAGTGTTATATAACACAGCAATCTGAGAACCTATTGGATATATGCTGTCTTCACATATATCTGTGTATATGAATGTATGCATATATGATTTTACGCATGCAATTTTATATGTATGTATTCATCTACATATGTATGTGGGTTGAA